TAGGGCTTTTTGTTATTCAAGGTCTCGGCTGCCTGGATCTGCAATTTACCCAGTCAGACTCACCAACCCAGTGTCCTGGTTCACGCAGGTGTGCTCCCTGCAGTACCTGTGTCCTTGTGTTATATGTTAGTATACCAGGATAGACTTAATTCAGAAACTGCCTTTGCCAAACAAAATGAAGGATTATTTACAGGAGAAGCACTACTGAAAGAATGAGAACACTGCATCTTGCATTCTGGGAATAAGAAAAAGAGATTGAAATACAGTTTACAAACTTTCATTGCCATCAAAACCTTTTGCTGCCATAACCATTTCAGTTTTATGTGTAAAAGAGTCATCAGTTTGTTTAGGGGTGGGGAAGTGTCAGCAAGGTGTCTTGGATTTCTTTTGGTTCTTTAAAAAGGGAAGTCGAGGTTTTAAAGGTGTGAATTATATTTCATCAATGTGCAGAATAATCACAATGTGAATTATCAAATTCTCCTCAGTGCCCCCCGCCCAGTCCTTTGCTGCTATCTGCTGTGATTTTTATGCATTAAAGGCACATTTCATGTGTATTCAACCCTAAGTAAAGTTGAGTGAAACTTATAGAATGGAAATTACTATGTCTTTTTAAATGGCCCATTTTCAAAAGATAATGTTGAATAAACATACCTGTGTGATAAAACACAGAATTTACATATACACTGAAGATGAGTTTTTAATCTCTAACTTTAAAATGATTGATTTAGAACCATGAATTGACATAATCTTGGGTAATGGAAAGGAGATCTACAACATATTTTTTAACAACACTTTTTTCTAAATTATTTCTGAGGTTGTGCTAATATTTTTGGTTGTGAAAAGTTGAATTTTTCTGTTGCCTTCATTTTCATCTTACAGTTTGTCTATTTTAATAAATGTCCTTACATTAAAAAAATTATAAAGAAATGTATGCCACCAATTTAGAAATTGTTGCCTTTTCTATAATTAAACTTGGGTACAAGTTGGCATAACGTGAAAACCTACGGAGCTAGAATTATTATTAAATAAATATTAGATTAAAAAAAGAAAAAAGAAAAAATCTGGCATAAGTTGAAGTGTTTTCAAAGTATTTTATTCAAATATTTCATACATATTATGTAACTGAATAAATTTGATGTGCTGGCAGATTTAGAAATTAATCTTAAAATCAAATTATAAAAAGCTATGATGAGCATAGCTTTTATGTATAGAATATTGACACAAATTTATAGATGTAAGATATAAGTAACCTTTTATTTCAATATAAATGTTTTAGAATCATTCTATTTATGAATTCTTACTATATTAAGGTGGGTGCTTACGCGTTTTGTTCTAAATCTTTTGATTGTTTTATTTAACTTAAAATATGCCATCTTCTCCTCTTAGGCACTATGATAACATATCTTTGCCCTGGAGGACACTTGCCAGTTTGTGTGCTGTGATCTTCTCTTCACTGGTTTTATCTTTCGCTCAGGGAGCAGACACATGATTGGATCCTCACTTTGAGATTTAATTATCTGTGGGAGGCAAACCATGTATTTATTTCATTGATTTCTTGCAAAGTACAGCTCACAATTCTGACAATACCAATTGATAGCAACATTTTAAATCTTTTATAGCTTTTTGTAGAGGTTACTGGAACATTACACACCAACTGACTTGATTAATTTGTTAAACCGTGTGGCTCACAGTCTAACAATCTAATCCCAAATCTAGTTCTTTATAATATTTAAATGTGTATAAGGCAAAACTGGTTAATGTAAAAAATATGCATACAAAGTAAAATAAGACTACTGAAGGGATTTCAGCCTTTGGAAGAATTTTAAAACTGTAGTAATTCCCTCTTCCCTCCATTTTAATAAGTAAAATCAGATATATTGTTTATAAAAGGAGAATTGACTACCTTTACTCTTTATTGTAGTCAAAGTTGATAAACTGGTTTCATTTTTTATGATATTCATATTTTAACTGTGTATCAATGTAGACATAGAAAAGTCACAAACTTGAAAGATTTAACTTTTAAAAATAAGCACTATTGGGCTGAGTGCCGTGGCTCATGCCTGTAATCCCAGGACTTTGAGAGGCCAAGGCAGGCAGATCACCTGATGTCAGGAGTTCAAAACCAGCCTGACCAACATGGTGAAACCCCATTTCTACTAAAAATACAAAAAATTAGCTGGGCGTGGTGACGAGTGCCTGTAATCCCAACTGCTTAGGAGGCTGAGGCAGGAGAATCGCTTGAACCTGGGAAGTGGAGGTTGCAGTGAGCCGAGATCGTGGCCACTACACTCCAGCTTGGGTGACAGAGCGAGAATCTGTTGTAAAAAAAACACTATTAGAACAGCCTAGATGCACAGATTATCTTTAGCACCTCAATCAATAGAGATAAAAATGTCACAAATTAGGCATTCTATCATATTCTTCTGCTTTTTACTGAGTGATGGATTTTAGTGTTAATTTGTTGTTCCATCTTTGGTTTCTTTTAGTCTATGATCATTATTTTTATTTTATAGGTTGATAGAACATTATGGCTGTAAAAACCTCTAGCATTTATCTAGTCAACTCTCCCATTTTGCTGATAAGAAAACTGAGGCTCAGCAAGGTTGCATGATCCAGGACACAGAGTTAGTGGTTGGGCCTCATCAGGAACCCAAGCACAGTAAAGTTTGTGAGAATGTCATTTCCTATTACTTTTTAAATTTATCTTTCATATATTTAAATCTGGCCTTCACATATCAGGTCAACTAATATATACAATAATGATTGAATATCTAATGTGGTGTCTGTTGGTGAAGTAAGTTTTTGAATGTCTATGAACTGACTTTATTATTATAGATATTTCAGTATCTATCAGATAATATCTCCACCATTACTTACATACTTGTTTTGAATTCTTTTTTAGTCTGTACAGGTTGTATTACATTTGGTTTCTTTTGTTAAGATCAAGAAAATATGGACCCTAGTATAGGGAATATGTTTTATATGTATGAAATTTGTTACATATTCAGAGGTTGAAATGACTATATTTTACAAAAGGTTTTAAGTACTATGCTTAGCAAGAAAGGTTAAAGTTCACAGAGATTCTACTATGAATAAACCATTGCTCCAGGTAATTTCCATGAATTATGTAATTTAAAATTCATGCAACTCTGTGAAAGAACTACTGCATTCTGTAGATGAGGCTGAGAGAGGTTGTTATTATAGATACCTACTCATGGGGCGAAGCTTGATAGAACTGAGATTTCAGCCCACACATTAGGTTCCAGAGCCACACTTGGTCATAGCAATATAAAATAAACTAGAAAGCCTGCTTATCACATAAAATTGGATGAAAGAGCCGACACTTAAGAGAATACAATTCAAATTAATATTGATTCAATAACTAGGTATAGATTCACAAGATTAAATATAAGAGGAAAAGTTTAAAGTTATTCACCCATGGAAGAGAAGCAAACTTCTAAAACAGGAGATGAAAAAGTAAACTTTTACCATTACTGGTAGAAAAACATGACCCAGTCATGACTTGCTATAATAATTTTAAAAAGTATAAAAGAAATATAGAATTTACAAACTAACAGTTACATTTCCACCATGGTTAGAATTTGTAAAATTGTTGTTTTGTCTTTTCTTCCTAATTTAGTAAAAGTTTTCTTCCACTCCATTAGTAAAAAGCCATAACCACAAATCTCTGTGATACATTTTTTTCTATCTTGGGCTTTATGTGAGGCTGTTATGGAACATCACTCCTAAGATCCTAGAAAGACTTTTGTCTGACAGAATACTCTAAAGCTCCATCTTAGATCCTTCTGAGGTTTTAGCACATCATTTTATAGTCCCATCTGGATTTGATGTTTCCTCTGAAGTTCTATTTTAATTTAAGAATTTTGGAGAGGCTGAGAATAAGAAATAGTTTTTTAACTGAACTCAGCAAGTTTTGATTCCTTTATATTTAACAGATTTTTAACTGTGGCCTCTTCTTTATATTTTATTAGTAAACACCAGGGAGTAGTTTCAACACTCTGTTTGGAAATATCCTTGGGTAGACCACGTTGCATTGAGTATGCTTTTGACTTTCTGTGTGGATAACAGGTGACAGTGCTGCTAAACTTTCTGCCACTCCATAGCAAAGGATCCTCTTTCCTCTAGTTTCCAGTAACATTTCGTTCACTTTCCTTCAAGCTCTCACTGATAGCCTCCTTGAAGGCCCAAAGGCTTCTGCTAACAATTCTGAAAGTGAGACAAATCCTGAAGATGCTTGTGACTAGAAGCTGTCAGCTAACTGCATTGCTTGCAGCTGATTCTCTTTTGAAGGGAGTATTGAGCAAGTCACCTTCATGGTCATCACATATGGCATTCATGCTAAGCCACATTTTTGCTTCTACCAGCCCTTCTAGTCTTCTCTCCAGCCATAGCCAGTATCTCACTCTACGTTTTTTGCGACACAAAGCTTGCATTACCTCAGTACACCTTCAAATCACATAAAACCATAACTTATTCCAGGCTGAGTTAGGTGCCTCTGAGCACCCTATAATACTTACAATACTGTAAATATTTCCATAGCACCTTTGAAAGATCTTTATTACTGTATTATGGCATTCTATTGTACCTGGATTAAAATCTTGGCTCTGACACTGATTAGCTATGTGACCTTGGCCAAGTTATTTGGCCCCTCTGTGTCTGAGCTTCATCTTTAATGTGGGGATAATAATATCATTTATTATAGAGTTATTGGGATTAAATGTGATAGTAAGTGCTTAGAACATAATCTAGCACAGAGTAAGTGTTCAATAAGTATTAGCCATGATTAGTAATGATCTGAACTAATGGATAGGATATGTTCATTGAAATTGTTGGATTGCAGAGCAAAACTGACATAAAGGTGACTCTGCTTCGCTTCTGTTTTCAGGGAGACAGTGTAGATCCCTACTTTCTCAAGTGACAGGATGTAAACTGAAGTCATCAGAATAACCTTTGTCTTTCTTTCCCACCTTCTGTTTTAGGTCTACAGGACAATCCTTGGTTCTGTGACTGTCATATTTCCAAAATGATTGAGTTGTCAAAGGTTGTTGACCCAGCTATAGTGCTTCTGGATCCACTGATGATTTGCAGTGAACCTGAGCGCCTCACAGGAATTTTGTTTCAGCGGGCTGAGTTGGAGCGTTGTCTGAAACCATCAGTGATGACCTCGGCCACCAAAATCATGTCTGCTCTGGGTAGTAATGTTCTACTGCGGTGTGATGCCACTGGCTTCCCCACCCCACAGCTCACATGGACCAGATCTGATAGCTCGCCAGTTAATTATACAGGTATTTTCTTGATTCAGCCCTACGATCAAAGGAGTTTACAAAGCTCTGAAATTAACATCATGTTTTGTGTGATTTGAAATTAGCCAGCTAATGCTGATAAAATATTTCAAGAGTATTGTAGGTGCAAGGGATTTGAAAGGTACATTTTATTGGTTAGTATTCTCCTCAGATTATCTAACTACCTAGATAAAATTAGACACTCGAAACTCTTTTTCTTAGGTAGAATAAAACAATGCAGTGGATAGATATGGCACATAAGGCCTTTGTCTTGCCTCAGCATCTTGGATACAGCTCACTTCAAAATGTACAACCATTACATTTTTTAAAAAAGGGCCTTTTGCTGGCCAGGCATGGTGGCTCATGCTTGTAATCCCAGTAATTTTGGAGGCTGAGGCGGGCAGATCACCTGAGGTCAGGAGTTTGAGATCAGCCTTGTCAACATGGTGAAACTCCATCTCTACTAAAAACATAAAAATTAGCCAGTTGGTTGTGCACACCTGTAATCCCAGCTATTCAGGATGCTGAGGCAGGAGAATCACTTGAACCTGGGAGTCAGAGGTTGTGGTGAGTCTAGATCATGCCATTGTACTACAGCCTGGGTGACAGAGTAAGGCTCTGTCTCAAAAAAAAAAAAAAAAAGATGGGGGGCCTTTTGTACAAGTCTGTCATTTTCAGGTAATTATTTAAATAATAAATTACATGGAGACCTTATTATGAATCAAAAAGTATAATTTTAATAAATATTGATTATATAGACTTTTCAGATCCTAGTGTGACAATGTGGATGCTTTGTGCCCAGTTTTAAGAGTGATATTCTGAAAATTAAAGTGATATATTTTTAAAATTCTTCAAAATTAAACTAAAATTCAGGTTGAAATAATGAAACCTGATGGAAATAAAGAAGTTAAGGCCTAATGTTCCCATGTACAGGTAGTCAGTGGTCCACAGTTTCAGCTAGTGAGTTAAGTTTTGGGCTACTGGGATACTGCTCTTTGCATTATTACTCTTGGAAAAGCTCCTGAAATCAAGACGGAATGAAAATATACCCAGATGTCAGAGTTTAGGATAGCAAAATTCTGATTTTTTAAAAAACTATATGTAATTCTACAAACAAAAGAATCTGTGATTTGCTAGTTTACCTAAGTTAAATATAAAATAAATTATTTGGAATACAAATGATGACTCTGCCACGCCAGAAAATGATCTGCTATACCCCTGGCTGTAGGGATATATGCGTTTTATTACCATGAAAACGCATCATAAGAAATACTTAAGATGGTCTTATGATAAACATTTTATACAATTACTGTGACTTAAAATTGAAAGGGACCTTTGAAATCACTTTATCTCCTTCTCTTATTTTGTAAATGCAGAAAAATAGGCCTAAAGACATGAATTGACTTATCTACCACTACATAGTATTTAGTGGGCAAAAGGTTCTAAAACCCGTCTCTTGATTCCCAGTCTTTTGTCTTTTAAAAATACTATTTCCTATACAGACCTCACAACACCTGGCAGGTCCTAGACCTTGATGTAAGCAGTTTGCAGAACCATCGCCCATTGCCGGAGACTTGCAGGGTGCCATTTCCCTCTTGGCTTTTGTGAGAGGATGCATATAGAGCAGTTAGCTGTTTCCTCCTCAGTTGGCATGGTTACTTGAATTTTCCTTTTTTTCCTCACAGATTATACATTTGTTTTCTTCCAGTAATACAAGAATCTCCAGAGGAAGGAGTCAGATGGTCCATAATGAGCTTGACAGGCATTTCTGCCAAAGATGCTGGGGATTACAAATGTAAGGCCAAAAATCTGGCTGGGATGTCAGAAGCTGTGGTTACTGTGACAGTGCTTGGCATTATCACAACCACGATATCACCAGCCACTTCTGAAAGAGCTGGAGATCATCCTGAGTGGGAAATCCAGCCAGGATCTGGAAGATCTACATCTGTATCTATTGCATCACCATATCCTTGGTCCTCTTCCAACCCCCCCATATCTTCTTTGTCTGCCTCTACTTTGTCTCCTCCCTCTACTTCTTCCTTCTCTTTATCTCAATCCTTCTCCTCCACTGCTTCTTCAACCACGACTTTGAGCACGAGCATCTCAGCAAGTACCACCATGGCCAACAAGCGATCACTCCAGCTCTACCCAGATGGGAAAAGAAATTTAAAGGTGGTGAAGAGTGGAAGTAAGCTTCCTCAAGGCAGCACAAGTAAGAAAGAAGAGCTGGCATTGTTGGATCAAACAATGCTTCTAGAGACAAATGCCACAATAGAAAACCTCAGGGTGGTCAGCGAGACGAAAGAGAGTGTGACATTGATGTGGAATATGATCAACACCACACATAACTCTGCAGTGACTGTGTTGTATTCCAAGTATGGTGGGAAGGACCTGCTGTTGTTGAATGCAGACTCCAGCAGGAACCAAGTAACCATAGATGGCTTGGAACCCGGTGGCCAATACATGGCCTGTGTCTGTCCAAAAGGAGTGCCTCCCCAGAAAGACCAATGCATCACCTTTTCTACCGAAAGAGTTGAAGGAGATGATTCTCAATGGTCTCTCCTTCTCGTGGTGACCAGTACTGCCTGTGTTCTTGTCTTACCATTGATTTGTTTCTTGTTGTACAAAGTTTGCAAGCTGCAATGTAAGTCAGAACCTTTTTGGGAAGATGATTTGGCAAAAGAGACTTATATCCAATTTGAGACCCTGTTTCCCAGGTCTCAAAGTGTAGGTGAGCTCTGGACACGAAGGCACAGGGATGACTCAGAAAAATTGCTGCTTTGTTCTAGGTCAAGTGTGGAATCTCAGGTGACTTTTAAAAGTGAAGGTTCCAGACCAGAGTATTATTGCTAAGGTTCTGCAGCTCAGGTGCATGTGAGCTACAAAATTAGCATCTAAGGGTATAATTGACCTTAGGTTTGGATGACTTTTGGACAGACTTTCACATTGTTAGTGAAAATCACAAATGGAATGCTTTTAAATGTGTTTTAAAAATACCATGAGACCTCTGAACTGAAAAGACAAATAACTTTGATTTTTTTCTTGTGTGAAAAAGGTCTGAAGAAATAATTTTTAGAGTGGTGCTTAATGAATTATTAATACTTTTTAGGGTAATGTTTCAGTTCTTAAAAATAAGTTTATGTGAAAGTAGCAAGTAAACTCTGTATTTAAACATATAGTTTTTTAAGTAATGGGGAAACATTAGCATAACCAGCTAAGCCTTGATGTTTATTCATGTTCAAAGTGCATTATGATATTTGCTGTGGACATTTTCTGACACTGCCTAATGGTGAGCATGAGATCATAAAGGATTTGACGTTCACTAAGGTTAAATCCAACTCACAGGAGAGGGAGGGCTCTGTCTCTTGGTAACATTATGCATTATAATACTGTAGAGTTGTGTTCATATTGCATTTAAGAAAAATTTTGCATTTCTTTAGAAATATTGGTATTAGCAAAAATAAGTATGCAAAGAGGATCATGACAAATAGACCATTTCTTTAAAAACAGCAACTGTTGCATGTACACACATCTGCTGACAGACTGAATGGATATTTAAAAATAACTTTAATCTTTTAATATTTTGCTATTTGCTCTTCTTTTCTTCTTTCTTTCATCCCTCCTTGTCTTCTCTCCCTTTCCTTTTTTCATTCCTTCTTTCTTCACTTCTGCTTTGTCAGAAGATGTACAAGTAGCCAAAGGACCACGAGCCAAGCCGTTTGTCTTTTCCACGTTATCTTTTGATTCTCTTGATAAACAGAAAGTTTTTGAAATTATCTACTGCCCTTTGAAAGTCTGTTTTAGAACCCCAAAGGATATTTTAGGATTTTGAAAGGGAAGCTTCCATGGATTCATTTGGTTAGACTCTTTTCCTAGGTTAAAAACATCGGGGAACTTAAATATAGAGGAAAGGAGTTCATCAATAAAATTTGTTTTTTTAAAAAAGAGCATTTTAATACCTATAGTATACTACAAGAGACATCTCGTGGCTTTAAGATTAATGATAGTAATAAAACCCACTCAAGCATCTCACAGAGCTGATACTACATGTCACTTAGCAGGATGATGCAACCTGACCCAGGGTGTCCAGGAGACAAGGCCACCTCAGCGCAGAGGCAACTTAGAACAAAACTTGACCTTACTAAATTAAATTTGCTCTATGAAAGAAATGCCTGGTAATGGACCCAGACTGAATACATGTGTAAGAAATGGGAAAGATCTCCGAAACTCTGAGAATGGTCTTCAAATAGAAGCTCTCCCACTCCGTTGGTCATCTGACCCCTGACTGTATCTGGCCCATGACACCAGCCAGCTCCTGCTTTCTGTCTTGTAAGAGCACTGCTGGAATAAACTGCTCGAACATTAGGTGGTGTCTAAGACTCATCTTTGGTGAGATTTAGACTGACAGGGATAAATCACCCTTGGGAAGCTGGCTAACTGGGACCACCCAAACCCTCAGAACACAATGAGCAATGAGGATGAAATCTGAGTAAGCCAATGAGTGATGACACCCATTTCAAGAGGAGAATCAAGGGAGAGTGACCAGGGCCCGGCTCTGGTCAAGAGACTGGGTGGGGCCTGTGGATCACTCCACAGTGGTCTGGCAGTTTTTGTTCCCTTTTTGGATCTGTTGCTGCCTTCTACGTTCGCTTTGTGCCTCTGTTTTGGAAGTCGCCACCAGGCAAAACTCACCAAAATTACTTTTAAGACCACTCTGGTTTCACGGGAAGGTGGGCTCCTAGGAGGTGGGTGATAGGGATGGTGTGGGCTGGGGGACATCATGGGCTTGAAGAGCCAACCACCAGCTGGTGTGTCTCTAGCCTTGGCTGTGGGAGAGGAACTCCTTGTCCCCAAAGATCCTGACATCATGACCTCACAGACCAAGAAGGCTACAGTACAGCTTCTCCACAGAAAGCTTATCTGCTGTTGTCCGCTAACCAGAGAAAGAGACTCCACCAACAGACTCCTGGTCTAATGCCGCTAGCAAACTCACCAAATCACCAAAAGGCATATGGCTGCCATCCCCATTTCTCTGCATGCTCCCAGTGGGACAGTGCGGCTTCTCAAGGGCTTCACCACCCCCTACAATGCCTGTTGGGTGCTGCCGGCAGCAGCCCATGAGCAGTACATCCAAATCACAGAGGCAGTGTGCCAGATTCCCTCCAGTGGCACCACAGGCACTGCCAGTCACCACTTGACCACAGTTAAGAAAGGAGCTGCCACCTCCATAAACAGCTAGGGTGAGGAAGAACGAATCCCAGATCCCAAAGCAAGCATTCTCTCTATCAGGACTGGTTAGTAACCATCAGAGCTGGTGGTTACACAGTGATGTTCCTCCTTGCCTTGGCCTCCTCTGGCACACCCCACTTCCTTTTCCACTTCTCTGCCATGCTGTGACACAGCAGAGGCCTCGCTGGAAGCTGACCGATATAGTGGGCAGATCTTTGACTTCTAGGCCTCCAGAATGTGAGTCAAAATAAACCTCTTTTCTTTAGACATTACTCAGTTTCAGGTATCCTCTTATGACCACAGAAAACAGACTAAGAAAATTCTTACGGATAAAAGATTCATTCTTACCTTAAATCTTAGAAGCCTCAGCATATGAGGGTTTTTTTTTTTTTAACCTTATTAAGTCAGGAACTTTCACCTTTTCATGTAAAGGAAGCACTTTATGCTTCTCATTGGCATATCCAAGTTGCCTGTGTCACTATTCTTGTGTTTCAGGACCGCTGTCAAGTAAAACAAGGGTTACTAGAACCCAAGCACTCTGATACCGTGACAGTCCACCTGATAACCAAGGCGGCTCCAAAGAGACCGATGGGCTGGGCGTGAATCGTGTGGATCCTCTAGACAAAGGGATGACTTACATCCTGGGTGGGATGGAGCAGGATGGCAAAAGATTTCATCAGACGACTCACAGCCACACCTCCTGGAAACACTCAGAGCCCTACTTATGCTTGGCAGCCATCTGGAACTGACAAAACCTGAAACTCTAGCTTGATTGGACCACCTCCAAGATCAACTTAAAATTTATGAATTGCTTATTTGTAGATTTTCCATTAAAAATGTTGGGACTGTGGTTGAAGTTGGGTATCTGAAAACATGGAAAACAAAACCTCAAGTAAGGGGGTACTACTGTAGACCCTTCGATACAGGCGGAAATCCGAAGCCTGCTCAAAGACCTGGTGCAGCGGCCCAACAGGAAAGGTGCCACCTGGCTGTACTGTGCTTACTGAACAGGAAGTGATCTACAATTCACAGGCCAAGAATACAGCAGTTAGCAGCCATCTCCAAAGATGGGAAGATTGATTTCATTACCTAAAGATCCCATCCAGCTTATCCAGGAAGCACAGTCAGGTGGGACTCTGGGTCCAGAGCAGGCAGGCATGACAGAAGCTCTTCCTGTACTCTGTCGCAATGGCTGTTCATGGCCTGGCAAGCAGCAAGCTCCAGCACAAGCCTCCTTACAGCGAGGGCTGAAAGCAGATGATGTGCCTACCGCTAAGGAGGGAAGAGAGCTACTGAGACATTTAGGTGTGCTCCAGGGGGTTTACACACCTCCATCTTCACAGGACAGAGGCGACACTCATCTAGCCCTTAACCCCAACTCGAGTCTATCTGGTCTATGAGGATTTGACTTGTGCACAAAAGCTTCTCCGCCTTCACCTCACAGACACATTTTGGGCCCAGTCACTGCCTGTGCACCTCTGAGCAGCATTATGAGGGTCCCTGCCCCATCATGTCTGCAGTGACTACTTCATGCCCTCTTGGACCAAACACAGACTTCTCTACCTGCTGCTGGAAGACACCTTCATCGTTGACACCTAGCATGGCCATGGAGACTGGCCCACCAACCTCGACTGATCGCTACTTGGCATTTGCCTACTAGGCCACCTCTGCCACAGTTTCTATGGCCTGCACCTCCTGGAAACCTCATTTGTGCTGGGAAGCCCTCTGGATGGACAAGACCTGAAGCTCTGGCTTCACTGGACCACCTCTGCATCTATAACATCCACCAGAGCACAGTATCTTCTTCAGACCTTACTGCTTTGCTCTGAGTTCTCCTGGTCCTCCTCTTCCATTCTGGCCTGTCATTGCTCTGCAATCAAGCAGCTCCAAGCCTGCTACTGCCAGGTCCATTCAACTCCTTTTATATGCCTAGGGCCATTTTCTAAGCCGCAGCGTGCCTGCTGTCTTTCACTGCTCCAGGTGGCCCAATGTTCCACATCGAGATGTTGCTTCTTGAGACCTATTCATTGGTTACCCAGCACTGAAGTCACTGACAATTTCCACCACAGGGTCATTTTGGTTACCCAGAGTGGGCAAACCCAGCTTGCTGAGCATGCCTTCACCAACCTTCTGCCGCTTGTCCAGTCTTCACAGTCAAGCCCTGGTTACTGTCAACTGCCCCTCCTTTGCCCTTGGTGAGACTGCCCCATATCCACAGCTGGAGCCTGTTCTCATGACCTCTCCTAATTGCTCAACCGGATGCTGGACTTACCGTATGTCGTCTGCCGATACAGTTCAACGCCCACCAGATTGTTCCAAGGATGCCACTCATTCCTGTCTTACCATCACAATATGCTTTCTACAGGACACCTTAATGCTGATTGGGATACCCGGACTGGATGGCTGGGTACCTCTCACCTGGTCATCCAAAGCGGGTATAGTGGTCCTGTTCTGGTGACTCTCCCTTACTCCTGTCTACAGCCCGACCACCCGCAGGTAGAGGTAAGGGTAGATTACCTTACCTTTACCCTGACAGGGCTAGAAGTCCTGCTCATGTTTTGGGCCTCCACCCCTTCCCTTTCTCGACGCCACAAGCATGCAGCAGGGGCAGTTGTGGCAGCCATCTTGCTAAAGATGCTATTCTCTTTACAGGGAAGATTTGGGAGTATAGAATAGATTTCTAAAGCTGTGTCAGGAGTCCTGAAATATTCTGAGATGCAAGTTCTAAGAAAATACAATATTTTGTGTAAGAAACAGATTGCCTTTAAGGTGCCACTTTCTAGAAATTATAATACAAGCAGCTGTAGAATGGAAAAATTGTTCATTCTAAATGGTTCTTAATTAAAAAGAAAAAATAATTCTAGTTTAGGCATAATCTGTGTATTAGTAAGAGGACCAGTAAGAATGGATAGCCTCTCAGAACTCCCCAAATTCCCCTTCTTATATAATTTTCTTTCCTTTCCCTTCACCTCCCTTGTCTCCTTTCCTTATTTCCCTCCCCTCCCCTCCCCTCCCCTCCACTCCCCTCCCCTCTCCTCCCCTTCCCCCACTCTTCCCTTCCTTTCTACTCCTCTTTCCTTTCCTTTCCTTTCTTTCAGGCCTCATTGTCCTTGGTGCTTTCATCACTCAGTGCACTGTCTAATGATCTAACAGTTTTCAATTTAATATTCATTGTTAACAATTTAAAAAAATATATCTTTTGCAGACAATTTTGTGTTTAGCTTAAATTTATTTTAGATCAACTTATTTTAAATTAAAAGGTTACAAAACTTGTATGCCTTTACTCTGCTATAGATGTAATGCAATTTCATTGCCATGAATTTAAAAAGCGCATATAAACAGACTACTAACATACTACCAATATTCAAAATAATATGACTGTATGAGAATATTACAGACTACTGAGTCAAATGGTGGATATGGAAAGGTGCCTGAATTGTACAAAGGCTGGTTATTTGTCCAGGCAGTTTAACTTGGACCACCCTGATCAGATAAATTACTTACTGTCCTCATAATGAAAATCAAGCTAAGCCTGGACTTAATTTTGATGGAGTAAAAAAACTAGTTGGTGGTGTGGAGAGGGATAGGAACCTCAGGAGAAAGTACCTGGATTATTTCTCAGCTGGGTTTTGGCACAAGAGGTGTGTTGCAAGTAATTTATTACTAATAGTGAAAGCACTAAAATAACACATGACCTGCTTTCTAAAAATACATACATTTGAGAGTAAAGTTATCTCAATAATATCATTGCTCTCACGTTCTTACAAGTATGTTTTCTTAAGTGAGAAAGAAAGATTGGTGTTAGTGAAAATAGTGCGGAATGCCACATAATCAATAGCTCGTTTATCAATATCCCCAGAAATATTGTGGACAGCAAGCCTTACCAATATATAGCCAACATATGTGGCAACTAAAAATGATTACAACGTTTTATTTTCAGGAAAAATGTATTTGAGTTTTGTGAAAATTGTGAGAGCGAGAGTGTGTCACATACCAGTGAGTGTGTCACGGGTGAGACTATTATCAGTGATATGCTGTGACATGAAAAATTGTGAACGTTTAAAGCTCTTATCATGGCCAGAAAAGGGGAGCTTGAATAGACTCAGGCAAATACCTTGGCTTTGAGGAAACTTTAA